GGAAAGTGATGAAACCTTCAGGGCTAATGAGTAAAAGATGGGCGCTGAAAAATCGACGATTAATTAATGGCACTCGCCCAAACAATCGGTTTGTGTTGTAGATTTTTCTCCACCCTCATCAATCTCAGTTTCATCGGTTTGTTTGTTCCTGTTTTAAGACTGAGAGACGGGATGACCGTCCGTTTTCACCTGATCATCATTTAGGTCGAGAAAAACACCCTTTTGACTATTCGAAGTTGAGAGTGTTTTCGGTTCAATTATCAAGGCGCTGCTCTTTTTTTCTTGTTTACCCGCTCTGGACGACTCCCGAATATATTTAGAGGAATCGAGACTAAAGAGAGTGCAGACATTCGACTGGTTTTACCTGTTTGAATAATGCTGTTTACGCGAAATTGGCGACTAACAAGTTTGACGGCGCCAAAACGGCATAGATTTTCCGAATGCAGTCATACTCTGGTGACTTTTGCTGGCTGTTTTTCTTTAAAGTCCGAAATTCGGGCAGGAGGAATCGATGAAACCATCAAAGTGGAATTAGAACAGTCGTGTCTGAACTTGAGATTTTAAGAAAAGCCGCTGCAAAGTTTGCGAAAATTCTGTTTTCACCGAAAAGCAGCAGTTAACTGCTAACCTTTCATCCATCCATTCCAAAGCGGCCTCTTGAATCCATTATGATCAATTCAATGCACTTTGTTGTGTCTTTATGTGTGTCTAATGCTGAATGCCCATTTCGACACGAATCCACGATAAGGGGATTTTAGCAGGCAGTTAACATCATTATGTGGTAATATGGAGCACATTTCGCTCCTTTATTCTGTCGAATGGCAATTAATTAGGATGGAAACTCGTCTGTCTTTGCTCGAGATGGGATTTGATGGTATTTGCAAAAACTTTGATACACTCGGTAGCAAAACAAACAAATGTGGCGTGACATGGACTAACAACAGTGAATGTCACCGAAAGTTTACTGCACCCTCTGCTGCTCGACGAACCATATAAATGGAAATAATGTATGAGGTGAAAAAAGCACGCAATAACCAAGGGGTTTATGTGAAATCAGGTTTATTTTTATACAGGGAGTTTCTGTGCGCCGCAACGAAAAGCGTAGCAAACATGTTGAAAGATGAGCAGGGCGTGTTTACTCTTGTAGCACTATGGAGCAACCGCGGCCAGATGGCAATGGAAAATGTGGCAATGAATGTGAAATTGGCGTCAAAAAGGTGCAAAAAAGCCGCTAAAAGCACGAGAAAATGCAGTTTCCTTAACGTGTGAGCCGCATAGAAATATGCTGCACCCGCGTGAAAACAAGAACGCTGATTGCCTCCATCCTTTCTAAAAAAAGTCCTTCAACAGCAGATCGCAAAGAGACAAAATGTGAAAACGTTTTCAGTCAAAGGAGTAAATGTGCTGGTACAAAAGGCCAGAATTTAATACAGGGTGGTCCAGTTTATAGAGCAGAAGCGCTTGGAAAATGTGTTTTAGTGACAAACATTGAGTGGAACAGGAAACTTGAGAGGGCTCGTTTTTTTCCAATTTGAAAGCAGGGTTCAAAACAGCAGGTCTGCAGGGTCTGAAAAAACCAAATACTTTGTGTGGAAATCATGCTCTCTGACTAAAAATAATGCGGACAAAAATGCATTCAATCACTTCTCAGCCGATTGACCGGCCTTTGAATTGAACTTTTATACCAAGTTGGGACACCCTGTACTTTTTTACACATTTTAGTGTATATTTTCGATTCCTCAGTGGTCTTTAATATAATTTAATTTAGCGGCAAATTGATCCTTAGGTTTAAATCAAAGATTAAGCTCATAATTCGCGCCTCATCGGGACCCCGATTAGAACAAATTAATGGATTTTCTACACTTTTGAAGAGCGAATTCGTCTCTGACTCGTATCGAAAAACTCAAAGTTTGCGAATTTCAAAATGTTTTCGCTTTCGCTGCCGTCCTTAGCAATTTGCTCCCGACGTTTTCAACGAACTTGAACCAAATTCCTATCGACTAGGGCTCAAACACCCCAAAATCATCGACGGCTCA